CATACTATGTACAACAGTGTTTCTCTTCAACTTTAAGACAAGTAGACTTCAAACTCCAAGCCAGCCAATTTTGGAAACTGAAGTCCACTCATCTTAAAATTACTTAGGCTGAGAAACCCTAGTAGCATAGCTGGCTGAGGAATTCTGGGAACTGAAGTCCACAAGTCTTAAAGTTGTCAAGGTTGCAGACACCTGCCCTAGTATACCCGGTTCCAGTTTTAATTCATATCATTTGTGGATGCGTCCTTTTTAACTCATTCTTCTGAAAACTGCTGCTTGCACTCCATAATATATTTGTTTCCACACACCCACACCTCTCTTTGCACATCTATGTCACAAGCTTCCTTCTTTTTATCATTTCTCAGCTTATGAATCTTCACGTGCTATTAGTTGTTTTGGGTTTTGCTTGCTTCATTTTCCAGTATCTCTTAAAGAAGTGGTAATAGCCATGAAACCCTAAGAAAATATGTGTTTGAGATGTCAACATGGTGCAACCTTGCCCATCCATCCCCATTCATCAACTCATTAAAAGCATATTTTCCTGGATCTGCATCTAAAGTGTGATCCCAGGAAAAGGTGCAGGTAAGGAGGCCCAGACACATGTACCCAGACTCTCACTGAAGCATCTTTGCTGCTTCGCAGCCAAATAGCTAAATATCCCTAGATTTAACATGATAGAAAACTCAGAAAAAAGTTTCCTGATGATTGTAATACTAACACAGGCATTTGTGTCAGTCTCTCGTTAACCCATTGTATATGTGGTAGAACGTCTGGATTCCCAGAAGGGAGGTAGGTTCTACATTCCAGAGAAGTAAGAGACAGCAAAGTTAGATATTTTGGTTGAAGAAAGAGAATCAAGACAGCTCCTTCCTAAAAGTTCTGAATATATTTTAGTGATGTAAGTAGTTTGCTTCAGTTTGGTAAAAAATTTTGTCTATAGGCGAAAAACAATAAAGGAAACTACTTAGAAATAACTGTGTGTGTCTTTCCTGGTTTTTGGAGCCTGACAAAATAAATAAATATTAGGGACATACTATAGATGCATACTAAATGATCCTTATGCAATAGTTAGAATAATTAAGTAATTGTTTTTAACATTGTTAATAACACTAAAGAGAAAATAAGTTCTGAGTCAACTTTCTACTAATCTATCACTTGAAGCTATGTTGGAGCTCCCCCTTTTGATTAACTGCTCTCATTGCTGTATCTTTTAGTTGATGCTCCATTGCATCATTTTTTCTGCTAAAGCCAGATAATATTAACACGAAATTACACTAAAGTTCACAACGCAGTACAATCCCTAATTTAAAGTAGGAAGATTTCACGCAGAAGGCACACCTCATATTTAGAAATAAAGTCTTGCAGGCCAAGAAAAATTGAATGGAAGCTGCAAATTCTAGCATGTATTGAAAGATCACATGGATAGAAATTAAACAATTTAAATCTTTCATCTTAATCCCAAACTGTTCCACTTTTTGTCACTGAAATATTACAGATCCAAAAATAAATCATAGACTTCTGCCTATAGCAGAAAAGACAAAATATTCCATCTTAAATTCCTTTTCTTACAATGATGTGTTTGAAAATAAGTATTTAATAAGGCATTTATTGATATGCTCAATAATCTGGGGGATCAATCACCATAGTTTAAGCAAGCATTTTATAACCATGTCCATTTGTAGTATAAGCATCTGTAAATATTCTATGTAATAACTATCTCTACTACACATCACTCATCACTCACACTAGCTTTTCCTTATTTAACGCTTAAATTTTGTATTAATCTCAATGGCAGATTCAGATAGCTGATTATCTTTTTGTTTTTGCTTTCCATTAAGCTTCACAACTTACTATGCATTCTGCACCATCCTAGAGACATTCTTAGTAACATAATCTCAGTAACATTCATACCCAACTGGATGCCTTAGTTACAAACAGATAAACATTTAACAAAGGAATACACTATACACATTATAGCTCTAAAGTAAAAGCTCTGCAAACAGAAGGGCACGGATATAAAATACAACTAGGACAACCACAGAACTGAGAAAGTGCAAGAGGAATCAAAAAGGAAGATTAAGAACAGCCATCAAGAAACAAATCACCTGTTCAACTAGAACTAATGAAAGTGAAAGAAACCAGAACTATGCCAACAGAACCCAGATGATGTTGTAAATGCAGTTGTTTTACCAGTTTTTGGTGAGCATGATGGGCACCCAGACTTTCAGAGTGGGTCGAGAAATTATCCCTGAACTCTCAAGATCTCAGGCTTTTTCCTTACTTAAATCAGAGTAAATACAGAGATATGGTGATTACAAATACACTCAGTTGCACTCACTTCTATTATGATGAAGTGTTTTGAGAGATTGGTGAAGGACTATATGGTTTCATGCCCTCCCGCTACATTAGACTCATTACAGTTTGCCTATTGGAAGAACTGTTCTGTAGAAGATACACTTTCCTGTGTGCTTCATCTTAGCTTGGCGGAACTGGAGGGAAAGAATACTCATGTGCGAATGCTGTTTGTTGATTTTAATTTGGCATTCAACACAATCATTCCTCAGCATCTGGTGAACAAACTGGGCCTATTAGGTTTTAATACTCCTTTATGTAATTGGATACTTGATTTCCTTATTGATAGGCCCCAGTTTGTGTGAGTTGGAAAGAAAGTTTCCAATTCTATGTCCTGAGTCCGCTACTGTTTGCCTTGATGACCCACGACTGCTGTGCCAAGTCTGCCATGAATCACATTGTGAAGAATGCAGACATTGTGAATGCAGACATTGTGAAGAATGCAGACAATGAAGATACTTATAGGGAAGAGGTGAAGGCTGTGGTGGACTGGTGCAATAAAAGTAATCTGGTTCTAAATGATGATAAAACAAAGGAGAGCTGGCAGTCATACTCCACTCAGTATCAAGGATGCAGCTGTAGAGGTGTTAACAGTATTAAGTATCTGGGGGTGCAGATAACTAACAATCAGAATTGGTCTCTCCATATGTCATCTTTAGTGAAGTGTGCAAACCAGTGTCTCCATTTCCTGCGTCGGATGAGGAGATCACATCTCTCTCCTTCTGTCTTGCCCACTTTTTACAGAGGCACGATTGAAAGCATTTTAACAACCTGCATCACTGTCTGGTTTGGTGGCAGTAGTGCCTCAGATAGAATGTCCATATAGAGATTGGTAAGGACAGCCAAGAAGATTGTAGGAAGCTCACTCCCTGGTATTCAGGATGCTGCTGATAAGTGCTATGTGCTTAGAACTCAAAGCATTGTTAGAGACCCCACACACCCACTTTACAGCCTGTTTCTGTTGCTCCCCTCTGGAAGGAAGAGGTTTTGAAGTATTTCTAGCAGGACTATCTGATTCTGTAGTAGCTTTGTTCCCTATGCCATCCGTCTGGTAAATTTGCAAGATTCGTTTTTTTCGCCATGCACATGTATACATAATCCAAACTAGACTGTGTTGTTTCTCTGTGTCATATAATATATGTGGGTATATGCATAATTCTGTATTTATTCATGTATGTATGTATATCATATTTATGTAGTGTATATTGGAGGTGGTGACCCTGAGAGCTATATGCAATGACATTTCATTCTAATGTATGCCAATTAGTGTACATTCCAAGTGACAATAAAGTTTCTATTCTATTTCTATTTTATTCTATCCAGATGTTATTTTGCAGGAATATGAATGATATAATGGAGTAAAATATTACTTTGAATTTTCATTTCATTTTCATTTATACAATGGTATTAATAAAATTTCAGGAAGTTAAACAAAAACGAACAGATGCAACTACATACTTTAAAAATTACTAAATGTTTTTTTAACTTTATTTTGATAGTAATAAAACTCTCCACAGAGAGATCAATCATTGAGCAAGATAAACATGAGCCTGGCTGTCATTACAAGAAACCATTCAGGTCAAAAAAACAATAATTCTAAAATTTTCCCATGGAAATACTCAGAATAATCCAAAATATGCAGAAAAAAACTTTATAACAGCCCACAAGAAGTTAGCAGCTAGCTACATTAACTAATTAATGTAATTTGAAACCACAAACATATAAAGCAGGCCATCTGCCACTGGTGTTGCCCCAAAAGCCACACAAAGTGTTTTCCCCTCCTCTATATATCCCCTATTAGGATAGGATTTAGGATAATGGCAGAACCCTTTCAGTTCCACCATACCTCAAATTCATAAAACAGCAGCAATGACAACTACGAGCGGATGCTTTTCAAACCGGGTTCCCAGAAGACACTTAATATCCCAGAAACATCTGTGTTTCAAATATAGTCCTCCCATTAGCACTTTGGGATGGCTGATATTTGAGAAATATAATCTGGTAACCCAAAAGGGTCTTTAGGGGCCATTTGCTGTGCTAATATTAAACTGAGAAAAAGAATGTTTTACTGTAATAATAACATAGTTTTTACAATATCTATTCATGTATAAACCTATCTGTGGATAAGCTGACTCTCAGCTTTTTTAACCAAAATGCATCATAAATGTGCCACTGAGCTGACCATTTTTTATAATACTGTAGTTAAAAATTCAGGGGTTGGTTATCCGCAAATGGGTGTATCCACAAGCATCCATGGAAAATACAGGTACTTGTAAAAAGTGTTACTATATATACTTGTGGATAAATTCAACCAGATGTGGATTTTGATATTAAAAATTCTAGATTTATTCACAAGTATAATGATTTTGTTCAACAGCTAGCACCATATTTATTGTACACTGTTGCTACATAAAAAGTTCATTCATAGAGTCTTCTAACCAATTAAATTTGTGCATCTAAGTTGACAAACATTGGCTACAGTACCTCCTTCTAAAACAAGTTCTTCTTTTCTTCTTATCTAGCAGAAACAACCAAATTTACATGAATTGTCACCTTTATTGGCAATATATTTTTAATATTTTTTTCTACATTGAATTACTGAGTATCCTTGCTCCTGCTTTTGCTGAATAATTTTAAAAAGCACTTACTTTTCATGGTTCCCTCATCTTCCTCATCTTCTGCATTTATGACCATTGTTCCCAATTGTGTTGCTAAAGTGTCATTGTATTCTATCATGGTATTGACACCTTCACTCATTCCACAAGCAGCTCTGATTGTACCCGTCTCTTGTCCCCTTGCTCGAACCATGGTCCTAGAATCAATTTCATCTTCTTCCTACATCGAGAGACAAGAAAAACTTCTAACTTAAGGAAGGTAACTCTAGTCATCTAGAATCGTTCAAGGCATCATGATTCTTCAATTACCATAGCAACAAAAGTGAAGCAAGAATATGTGGTTTGTTTCCAAACATATTTGTAAAACTCACCAAACAGCATCATACAGGTAGTCCTTGATTTACGACAACTGAGCCCAAAATTGCTGTTAACTGAGTTTTGCCCCATTTTACAACTTTTTTTGCCACAGTTGTTAAGTGAATCACTGCAGTTGATAAGTTAGTAATCCAGTTGTTAAGTGAATCTGGTTTCCCCACTGACTTTGCTCGTCAGAATGTCTTAAAGGCTGATCACATGACCTTAGGATACAGCAACAGTCATAAATATGAACCAGTTGCCAATCATCTGAATTTTGATTACATGATCGTGGAGGTGCTACAAAAATTGTAACTGTGAAAAGTGGTCATAAGTCACTTCTTTCACTGCTGTTGTAACTTTGAACGGTCACTAAATAAACTGTTGTAAATCAAGGACTACCTGTTAATTTGTTTTCTTCTTTTGGCCACAAATGGATAGTAAAATATTCCATCGTGAGATTTATTTTGTTACTGGAAGACAAGAGGATGTTACTGGAAGACAAGAGGATGACCACCAAAACGTGATTGGAATTACAGTGGCAATGGGTACTCTATTGGAAGACCTGAAAGACCATGCAAATCATCTTGGAGGAAATTGATCTATGTGGTCACTGATGCTAATTTGATGGCACACAATTCTGTCATTAAACATCAAGAATGGGAAGTAGGGATATTAAGAAATTTAAATTATATCTAATGAACTGCAGAGAAACATCTGTAACAGAGCAACCATGTTTGTACTCAACTGGCTTCCATATATCAAAATGACCCACAGACAATAAGCTAGGATGGCCAAAACAAAAAAGAGCAGCAAACGTATGAGGCAGCAAATGCTAATTTTTGAAGTTGTTTCCTCTTTGTTAGAGGAATTAACAAAGATCACAAAAATGACTGCCATGTTTAGAAAATAAAATAGAAGAAAAAGGCAAACTTAGAAGACGATATAATTCTGAAGCAGATGATATAACTGATAGTTTGCTCACAGTTCAAAGCAGGTGTCAAAAACCTTGCCTTCCTATAGTTCGTTTGTTAGATTGCACTCCATCTTTCCTTTAGGAGCTCAAAGCAGCATTCATGAAGTCCTTTCTCAGGTGCCTTATGGGGCTGAGCCTTGGCTTTCTGGCATTTCATGGAACCTGCCAATATCTCATCACTCTCAATACACAAAAGGCCTTAGAGCAGTGGTTCTCAACCTTTTTAATGCCGCAACCCCAACCGGTCGTAAGTCGAGGACTAAACCGGTCGTAAGTCGAGGACTACCCAACCGGTCGTAAGTCGAGGACTTTCCCTGCCCGGGAGCGCCACGCATACGTGGTTCCGCCCCCTGCGCCGGCCGAGGCGTAGCTGGCAAGCAGCAGAGACGGAGCAGGCCGACCACCAGCTGGCCCAGCCCAAGGGAGGTAAGGCACCCGCCGGAAAAGGGGAAAAAAATGGCAGACAAAAAAATGGCGGACAAAAAAAATGGCAGACAGCCTTGCTTGGCGACCCCCATGAAATGGTCGATCGACCCCAAATGGGGTCCCGACCCACAGGTTGAGAACCACTGCCTTAGAGGGATTGAATGAGCACATACCATCCATAAAGCAATGGTCCTGTTATTTCCTCCTCCTCATAGGATAGGAAGGAAAGAGGTGGGGGCCCAGACCAGTGGGAAAGACTGCAGCAAATTCATCTTGCAGTCTGTTGACGCTTTCACCTTTGAAGAGGTGGTTTTTTTAAAGGAAAAGTTACCAGATTTAAGAAATTAATTTAAAACACTTAAGAAATTAATTACTGTATTTTTAATTTTCAGGTTATGTTATCTAGTACTCAGAACTGGTTGGAACAGATTGACACACAAATACTAGTAATAAATAAATATTAAACAATAGACTCAATTAGAACAGTATGGGGAAAAAAAGAATTTATAACGCTACTACAGAAAACTTAATGGCTTTAGCACTCACTGAATTTTCTTCATCGTCATGAAATAAGTCACGCTGTTGAGCTTGCTGAATTTTTAGTTTAATATCCATTGCCTCGTTTATCATATCTCGTAAGATGAAAACTCCTTTGGCATTTTTTACAAAAGGGTGCTAAAAAACAAATATATATATTTTTAACAAAAAAGTTAAAGGCGGTAAGAAAAAAATCAGTCAATACAACTCCAAAGAGAATGCCAGTAGTAACTTTAATGCAAGATCGGGTCAATTTTGTTCAACTTATATAATTTATACAAAAAAGGAAAATCTGATACGCTATTCTATAATAACTTAATAGCCTAGAACAGAGAGGTCCAATCTGCAGGATTTAGCCTGTCCCTTCTAGCATCTTTGGGAACTCCCAAAATTCAGGGACACAATTTTTCAAATTTTGGTAAAATGAAATTGAAAGCCCCCCCCAAAAAGGGGGGGAAACTTCTCATTCTCCTCTCATCCCCCATTAAAAACTCAAAAGAAAATTCTACTTTGTTAAGCTCTCTAAACATGTATGTGGAGGGAAGAGCTCCATATTTCCTTCCATTCCAGAAGAGCAGATACTAACCTGAAGCAACTGTGTTGCAGTGGCCCTTTGTTCTGGGCACTTCACAAGACACTGTTTTACAAAATCTGTAAATTCATCTGACCATAGTTCTGGCTTTCGAAATGTTGGTGGTGGATTTGTTGGAATCATGAAAATTGCCTGCAAATAACAATATTGGTTTTTGCCCTTTGCCATGTTATAAGTAAGCAAAAAATAGATATACAGACTGTCATTCTTGGCCTCGCAGAAAATATTAAAGGATAACAATGTCCCGCTTCAGAGCACAAGGCTGGAACCGTACATTACTGCAGTCTTCCCCAACATATTAAATGCAATGACAACCCCAATTATCTGAATGACCCAGATTGGAAAAGCTGTCCTAGTGGTCTTCATCCTCTGTTTCAATATACAGGTAGTCCTCAACTTACAACAGTTCATTTAGTGATCATTTGAAGTTACAACGGCACTGTTTTTCACACTTGGCAACTGGTTCATATTTGTGATGGTTGCAGAGTCCTGGTGTCATGTAATCACCTTTTGCAACCTTCTCACCAGCAAAGTCAATGGGGAAGCCAGATTCATTTAACAACTGTGTTACTAATTTAACAACTGCAGAGATTCATTTAATAAATGTATCAAGAAAGGTTGTAAAATGAAGCAAAATTCACTTAACAAATATCTCACTTAGCAACTTAAATTTTGGGCTCAATTGTTGTCATAAGTCAAGGACTAACTGTAATTAGCAATGGTACTATGATACATTTAAATATATTTACATATTCACATTCAAATAACTTTGAACTTTACTGAATCTAACTTCTTGCTTAAAGTGGGTTGAAAATGATAAACCTTTTATTATCTAAGAAGAGTTAACAGAAACATATAGAAGGACTTAGCCTGGAAAATCAAGGGCCTCCAGAAGCAATACTTCAAGGCAAGATAAATACTTTCCAGGAGGAAATATATGTAATGTTAGGACAAACACAAATAATAATAGATTCAAACTATGACGAAATTCAAAACAACTTTGAAGATTTAAATAAGCATATTTCCAATCTAACTCTACAATTAAAAAATACCCAGAAAATAACAACAAAGGAACAAACAAATCAGACAGCAGATTACAAACTAGAAGAGTATGATCAAATTGATGAAATAACAAAGGAAAAGAATTACAATTTGACACAAACAGGAAAAAATCTACAAGGTTCTGATACAACAAGAAAAATGGAATTATTAGGAGAACTATTAAAGTTTGGGGGACAGAAAGAATTTGTCTTACTTACTTCATCTTTTGTATTCCCAACATTTGTAAAAATATAGGAACTTTTGGGTAAGCAGATTACATCAACTTGGAAAATTACTCAGCAAAAGAAGATCAGAGACAGATGCAAGAGATTTGACTTGCCCTACCAGATGGACTATTATGTGAGTAAACATTTGTTTGACTATGGCTAAAAGAACAGAGAATTTCAAACATTATCTTTATAACAAGAAGGATAATGAGATTTAAGTAATATAGCATGTTTTATAATATATGAAATGTTAAAATGGTAGGTTGATGTAACTTTTATTAATATATAAGTAAAATATTAACTGATTAAAAAGAATGTTATATCTAGATACTATAAGACAGATAAAAAGTATAGTATTTTTATAATGCATGACATAAAATATTGGGATGATGTACCTAAACGGGAAAATTTAGACAGTGAGATGACTAATATGAAGAAATTATGACTGATAAGAATTGGATTGAATGTAAGGGAATCTAAGCAAACAAAAATTATAAAAATAGGATGTATGCTGAACTAATGAAATGATGGTTATGAGAATAATATAAGCTAAAAAAATATTATATAGAGAGATTATTATTATTTGTATAAATATAAAAAATGCCCATATCTAATCATTTATATATTGAAAATATTAAGAATTATATTTTGGCTAAGATTGAAGAAGGAAAATACAAATGGGAAAAGGGAAGATCAAATAAATGTATCATTAATTAATATATTAATTATGGATTTATCAAATTTAATCATTATTGACTGTTAATTATTACTGTCCTTTTTTTCTTGTTAAAATATAAACCAAGACAACACGCTGTACACCAGGAACTGGAGATTGTTATAGTTAAAAACCAATAAAATATCTATAAAAAAAGAGATTACATCTAGCAAAGTAGGATCAAACCAAAGATAATGAGAATTAGGACTCTACTTGTGCAGTAAAGCTACAATCATCTCCGTATCTTGGATTAGTTACCCAGCATTTACCCTCATTGGATGAATATCAGCATATGGAGGTTTTCCTTCAGCCATTTCAATGGCGGTGATACCCAGAGACCAGATATCTGCCAGACAATTGTATCCAATTTCTTGGATCACTTCAGGTGCCATCCAGAATGGAGTTCCTATCACAGTATTTCTTTTTGCCATAGTGTCCTATGAACAGAGGCAAATGTTTAAGGAAGTTAGTTATTTAAAAGGAATCTGGTAAAAATATCTGCTAATCAATTGTTCAAATGCTTTCAAATATTCTATAAGCTACATTGTGACTTTATAATTAACAGATATTGTAAATTATATTAAACGTCCCTGCAACAGTGTGGTGCAGTGGTGAATATGCTCCTCCAGAAATCAGAAGACTATGAGTTCTAGGGCTCTCTTAGGCAAGAAATCCAGCTGGATGACTTTGAGCCAGTCACTCTCTCAGTCCAACTCACCTCACAGGGTTGATGTTGTGGGGAAAATAGAAGGAAGAAGGGATATTAGGTAAGTTAGCCATCCCAAGTTACATATACATAACAAGAAATGGGATAAAAATATAATAATAACCCATCTCCTAGAATTTTCAAAATATTTAATAACGGAGATGGGCAAAATACTCTGTACAGAGTAGCTTCTACTGGAACATATAACTTCATTGCAGGAAGGAGGAGGAGAGGCAAAAAAAAAAGCCAAGGACATTAGAGGATAAGAGATGAGAAAGGCAAAACGACCAGGAGATAGCATATGCCCTTCTGACGCTGCTGGCAAGGTCAGTCAGAGAACTGGCAAGCTGACAGGACATTTTGTGCTGGGCTATGAGTGATGCTTCCAATCCAGCAGAGTGGCAGAGAGGGGAGTAAGAAAAAAAAGTGGTGAGAAGATTAGGGATGGCCAAGCCGATGGGATATGCTGGGTTGGGAGCAATCAACCTTGTCCTATTCAACCTGTCTGGATTTTGTTTCATTCAAAATCTAAACAACCAAAGCATTCTGAATTTCAATTCTTCTATATGATGTCTGACCTGTACGAGTTAGCAAAACCTCCAGAATCTGATGGTTCCGGGTTGAAAACATTTTTCCCCGATTTGTGCACATCCAAATTAATAGAAATAGATTCAAATGAAAATATATAATTTCTAAAAATCTAAACCTTACCATTTTAGAAAATCAGATTATTTATATGTGCCAGTAGTACTCCGGTGACCATCTCATATTATATAGTAATGTTTGATCCAGAAAATACACTCCTGCTTGGTTTACATATCTATTAAACTATAATGTTTATTTGGATACTGGCATTTTGTGATGTTTGCATCCAGTCATTACAGTTTGTAAACTATTGTTAATAGATTACTATGCTCCCAACAATGGGTTTTAAAAGAAAACAAATATTTGCACAATATAGGAAGAGGTGTATAAGTAGTTTCTATACTTACAGTAAGCTGGCCAGCTACCCCAAAATCTGCAAGTTTAGCATGTCCTTCTGTATTAAGTAATATGTTGCCAGCTTTGATGTCACGGTGTATTTTCCTCATGAAATGTAGGTATTCCAGTCCTTTCAGTGTTGATTGTATTATTGTAGAAATTTCATCTTCCATCAACTGTAGAAGGAAACTTACTAAATAGTTATTGCTAAGACCCTATTACTGTCACTTAAAATTCATGTCTTCTATTAGGACAAGGATGGAGAAGGCTACAAGAGGGTAATGCAACTTATTGATCTCCAGTAATAACAACTTCCAGTGGAACATAGAATGTTCAATTTCTGCACTTTCAGATCTTTTATTACTCAATAAAGCAGGCCAAAGTTTATAACTTTTACCTAAAAATTTTATCCAAAAAAACCCCTCAGGTATTTATTCAGATCCTGAAAGCAGCACATACCGTTTTATTTCGTAGTCGAATTATATCAGACACAGATCCGGCACCGCAATATTCCATTACTATCCAGAGGTCCGTGTTCTTAAAATAGCTGCCATAATATTTGACTACATGAGGACTAAGGAAGACAGAACGTATTACTGAATTGACTCAAGT